ACATCCTTAAGCACTTCCATGGGCTGTCAAATGATAACGTGCTGGGAAAGCAGCGATTTCCTCTGCCTGCGGGGAGGGCTCTCCGAGGGTTTTACCTTCCCAGACAGACTCTGGGGTGGATTTTCAGCGCCTGCAGGAGGGTGAGATGCTGACACACGGGTCCTGCTGGCCTCCAGCAGTTATCCGAAGAAATAAAAAGAAATAAAAGGTGGGGAAATGCTGTTTGCCAGACCTCTGAGCACAGCAATTCCCCTCTGGAGCATAAACAATTATTAAAAAAGAGAGGGCACCTGCCCAGCCAGTGTAGAGCGAGGGAAATCTCTGGCTTTAGTGACACACTTGGCACTGTGCTGTGTGTGACAGCCCGTGGGCCACGGGGCATGACACAGCTCCATTTAACAGCGGCCTGGGAGGTGATGCTGCCTGGATTGGAGCACAGTTGCTCCTCCAGCCTCGAGAGCCGAGGTGCCAAGGCTGAACTCATGGTGCCAGCTGGCTACAGCATGCTTTGGGGCACGGACAGTGGTTAAAGAGAGTGCTCGCTACACAGTCAACCTGTTCCAGCTCAAAATCCCAGAGAAGGCTGAGCAGCTTCACAGGTTTCCTTTTGAAGAGTGGAAAAGCAGAAGGCTGCAAAGAAAGCAGTGAATTAATCTATTTTTTTTTTTTTTTCCCCTTCACTTCTATGACCTTCTTCCAGGAGATGCTTCATAATTAATTAACTCTTGTAACCCCCTGTGAGCCAGGGTTTCCTACCTTCCTTCCATTCAAAGCAATCCTGTGGTAAAGCCACTTGCTCAAAGGTCACACAGGGAGTCATCAAAATCAGTGACAGACTCTCAGAACCTCAATTCCCAGCCCAAAAGATGCAGAAAAACAGGAAAAATAGGCCTGGATTAACACCTGCAGTCCGTGCTGATCAGCACTGAAGCAAACCCAAACCAAGAACTGGTCTGAACAGGTACCTTTTTCACTCAAACCAGAACAACCTGAAGTGGTATTCTGTAGTTTTCTTGAAGTCAGACTGGAGCCAAATCAAACAATTTACTGAACTCCTGACAATAACAAGAACTCCTCCCACGGTGCATCACTAACAGCTGAAGGAGGAGGGACCAGAAAACAAATCTAAACAAAAGTGCTCCTTGAAGCGAGATTTTAGCCTCTGGAAAAGGCAGAGGGATCTTCTCCCGCTGGATGGACTTTGCTCCTCATTTCTTAGAGGAGAACTGGATCAGTATCTTGAAAAGGAAGACACAGAGATGTCTTTTTTTTTATCCACAAGCTATAAATTCCTGCCTCTCTGCCATAACCAGGACCCTCCAACCATCCCTGTTGTGCCTGGCAGATGGGAGCACCAGGTCTAAACTTGGGATTTCTGCCTTGTTGAGAGGGGGTTAATGATTAGAAGCCTTTTTCTTAAGAATACAAAATAATTTCTTGCAATGAAGTCACTTCTGCCAGAACAAGCCCCATTCTCCCTCGTGTTTACCAGACACAAATGCCACTCATACTTGGTATTCCTCGCAGTTGTGAGGAAGGCTGTGGGAGAAGCACAGCAATCAGATCCCAGCCAGATTCTAAAAAGGGAATTTGGCTCCTTTGTTAAATACCAATGCCCCTATTTGGGTCAGGACCAACAACTGGATCCCAACTGGGAAGTCCTTCACTTGTGCCTCGGCTGGTGAGTGCCTCCCGTGTCCCAGCAGCTGTCCAGGGTCACGCTGTCACCACAGGGACACTGCTGCTGTCCCAGCCTCCCAGACACTGCTCCTCACAAGGCCTCCCCTGGATCAGAGGAATGTTCCCCTCTCCCTAGCCTGCCCTGCTGAGGTCCCAGCATCTTTCTGCTCTCATTTCCTGAGCCCTGTGTGTGCCAGCCTGGAGAAAGGGGTCCCATGGAGAAAGGAGCTCCATCCATCACACCAGGGTGGTTTGTGCTGTTTCCTGCTTCTCCCACCCCAACCCCAGAGCAATTCCTTGCAGAGCCATCAATCCCACGGAACCAGCAGGCCAGGGGGAAACAGCGTGCCTCAAGAACCAGCAATCCCCTCTTGCCTCACCCACCTGCCCACAAATCACCTCAGAGCACGGGGAGGCGAGGGGAGCAGGGGAACAGCGACATCCGAGCGTAAATTCCCAGTGGGATTTACTGGAGCTGCAGCGGGAGACGCCAGGAGAGCATCCCAAAGGCTCCAGGGCAGCATCCCTCTGAGTGCCAGCTGTCATTTAGCTGTCACCAAATCAGAGCAGCTTCCAGCAGCACCTCGGGCCTGTTGTTCAGCGTTCCTGACACATCCCAGCTCTTTTCCCTTCCTCAGGAGCTGCCGCTCGTTAGCCACAACCTCATTACTCATTTCGGCGCCGCTCCGCTTGGAACCTCACTATTAATTTGACAAAACCTCTGCCCACTGTGTGCTGAGCATGGGATACTTGGCAAACACGAGTTTCCCAAGCTCCCAGCACAAATCCCTGCGGCACCGATAGCGTGTGCTCTCGTGTTGCTCCACAGAAATGTGGGGAGAGGAGGATGAGGCTGGGCAAGGGTTTAAAGATGCAACAAGAACGGTTGGCTCAAGCACATTTGGACAAAGTCAGGTATAAAAATGAGTTGTCATCAATAGGATTTAAAATGGAATTCTGCTGTTTGAGAAGAGCATTGCTGTTTCTGTATAAAAAAAACCTGAACTGTGGCTTGTTTGGCTTTTCCAGGTCCCTCCACATTCCCTCTACGTTTGATTTCATTGAAAAGGCTTTTTCTACCTTAAGCTATTTACGGTGAACAAAACGAGCAAAGTGATTCTGCAGTGAATCAGCTTAACCCAAGTAAGCGAATTTCAGTTTGAGGATGTTCTGTTCAGCTGTTTGGGTTTTATTAAAAAGTTTCTTCAGTCCATGGGACAAGAGAGCAATTCCTCAAAATGAGAGTGAAAGCGCCTTGCTCAGTTCTGCAGGGTGAATGAAGAAAGAGATGCATTTTGGAGCAAGAAAAGGAAAGACTTAATTCTGACTGATTATCTTGGAGTAATTCTGAACAGCCCTCGCAGTTATAAATAGGACTTCATCCAACCATTCAGTCTTCCGGAAAAACTTTCTAATTTTCAAAAGGACCGTTCCAAGAACAGCCCTAAACCTGCTTTGCCATTTGGATAACGAAAGACAAACAATCCATCCGAAATTCAATTTCATATGAAAAATTGCTGAATGGGGTCCAAGCCGACAAAAGACGTTTATAAACTTCCAAATTTCAAACATCCAAAAGCTCCTCTGCAGCCACAGGTTAACAGCTCCTTTGGACTGTCATTACTCTTGTAAAAAGCGAACTGAATTTGGGGGAAAGACACATTTCCAGCATCATCCAGCCCTCGGCCAAGGCATTCAAAGCGTCCTGCATAGCTTTGCCTTGCGCAATTTGACAAATGTTTGCGCGTGGACCATCCCCAGCGGTGCAATCCTCCCCGACAGCCTCCACCTGGAGGGACACCACTGAGATTTTCTAGGCCACCAGAACAAATGCTTGAGCTGGGAGGTCTCCATAAATCAAACCTTCATTTCCCCCCCACCTCCCCCATCAAACTTTTCCTCTTAACTCCTTTTGAAAGCACCGCGAGGAAGTCCTGAATCACGGAGCTGCGGTGTGGCTGATGTCATCCCTTTTTTTAAATTCACGTGTGGAAGGCTGAGCGTGTGGAGGCTGCTCAGGAGAGACTGTTCTAGCACCAGGCAGAAGGGCTGATACAACTCCCAGCCTTCTGGAACAGAGCTCTCAGCAAGATCCCACGGCCCAGCAGGTACAGATATTTTTTCTTCGGCAAGTTCCAGCCTGACCCAGGTAACCTCTGCTGACCCAAAGATGCTTCCCTGGCTTATTTTTTCCCACCCCCCAGGTTTTTTTGCACTCTTTTTGTGCTCCCAGCTGAAAAGCCAACCAGCAAAAGAAATTTTCTCCAAGGTCACGAACTCCTCACGATGCCTTTATTTGCCGGTTGGTGAAGTATTGAAAAAAATGAAAACTTCCTTATTGTGAGAGGAGCTAATGTCCCATTTAAACGTAATAGGGAACGAGAGGAGATGCAGCTAGGAATCTAATCACTGCTTCATAGCTAAACCACAAGCTTAGCAGCTTTCTTTTGTGCCCTGAAGGTCCCAAGCACCCTCTCTTTGCAAAGACAATATATGGCACATCCAAATGCAAATCTATTCCTCTCTTTATTTCTATATTCAGCTCCCTGGCTGATTACAGGCAGACGTGTATGTGTTCAATAGGTCCTCCTGCTTCTTTAAATAAGTTTAATAATACCCCTTTTATTTATGGGAGCCTGAAGTACAAAGGATGCAATGCAGGAGCTCTGCAAGAGCAGAAAAGAGAAGAAAAGCAAAGTAGCTGAAGATACAGCCTGGCAAGGGCTCGGTAATTCAACACTGTTGATTCTATAGAGACCGACTGCTTTTATTATGCACAGATTCTCCGAGGGGGGAGAAAACCCCGCAGTTACGAACTTGCAAAGGCAAAGAATCTGTACATCTCTTGTGCAAGTGCAGAATTGGCTAAAAAGGCAGTTTTAAAGCCAGGGCAGCCCACCGAACATTTCAGACCTCGCTGCAGTTTTCTTCCGGCGACTCCGAACAACTGAGGGCTCTCCCCGTTAAAAAGTTGTATTAAAAAAATACAACGAGAAGGGGAAATGAAGCAGCGAGCCCCTCCGAGGACTCGGTGCGAGGGCTGGGAAGCGCCGGCTCCAGCTGCGGGATCAGCCCCGCTTCGCCCGCGGGCGCAGCCGTGCCCCGCATCCCCGACAAGGAGCGGATTGAACAAATTCCTGAAACGCCCGGCTTCTCCCGGGATCGCTGACACGCTCGGCTTCTCCCGGGATTGCTGACACGCTCGGCTTCTCCCGGCGAGCCTCGGACCGGGGGGAGGCGGCACAGCCGCCGCCGCTCGCCCGCAGCATCCCCGGGGCAGGACGCGCCCCCCGCCCGCAGCCCCGCGCCCCCGCCGGTACCTGCCAGAGTCTTGTGCACCGTGTTGCCCATCGCTCGCTCGCTCGGCGGCGCGGCGGAGCCCGGGGCCGCCCGGAGCTCCGCAGGGCCATGGACAGCGCCCGCCTCCCGCCGCCGCTCCGCGCCCGCCCCCGCCCCGCCCCGCGGAGCCGCCCCGCCCGAGCCGCGCCTGCCGCTGCCCCCGGGAGCTCCGGGATGTGCCGATCCCCTCTCCATCCCTGCCCCGGGAGCTCCGGGATGTGCCGATCCCCTCTCCATCCCTGCCCCGGGAGCTCCGGGATGGGCCGATCTCCTCCTCATCCCTGCCCCATGCCTCTCCGGGATGTGCCGCTGCTCTGCCCTCATCCCTGCCCCGATGTCTCCGGGATGTGCCGATCCCTTCCCCATCCCTGCCCGGTGTCTCTCAGGGATGTGCCGATCCCTTTCCCATCCCTGTCCGGTGTCTCTCCGGGATGTGCAGCTCCGGGCAGCACCCATCGGCAGCCGTCGGAGGAACTGCCAGCCGGGGCTTTGGACAAACACGGGCCCTGCTCTCCTCCAGGGACCCCCGACAGACTTTTTGCCTCTCCCTCCTAGGAGAAAAACCCCAACAATCCTCTTTCTCCGGTAGCACAACCACACCTGTCCATCAGCAACACCTTCCCGAAGGGCACCGGCTGCACTGGAGAGCACAGGGAGCCGATAAACCTGAGCTCTTTCCCTCTCCGTGCCACTTCCTTGCGGGTGACCTTGGATAAGCCACTTTGCATCTCGGTGACACGGCTTCCCCAGCTGGGAATTGAGGGAATTAGCAGGAGTGTTTTGTCGGCAAAGGCGTGATTAGCTGGAAGCACGGCGGTACCACGGTGACGAAGGACACCTCAGCCCACAGCCGACAGCTCAGCACCGACAATATCGGCACCACAACTTCCCCACCTCGGATCTCAGACAGAAAAACATGTTTAGATCCCCGCTGGAGAAGAGCACGGCTCCCTCCCTCCTCCCAGCCGCACTTCTGCTGCCCGAGGGGTGACAATGCTGAGAAGTGAGGGTGCAGAGCCTTCCTTCCCTGAGACAGCTTCCAGAGTTTTAAGACTTTAGAAATTGAGAACCTCAGAGCTACAAAATGTTCTGCAATCAGCACCTTGGGCTCATGACAGTGCCCAGTGTTGGGGGAAAGGCACCGTGTCCCTTTGCCACATCTCTGGACTATCACACATCCTGAGACACGAAAGTGGGAAGAGGGGGAGAGCCGAGGAATAGCAGCTCAATAGCCTGACAGAGATCAGTCTCTGATCTATTATAGAGAAGCTAAAATAACAAGCCTTTAATCCCTACATCATGTCGAACAGGTCAAGTGTAGCTCGGGAGATGAGAGAGGACAGAAAAACCTAATTTCCAGCGTTTTTTGCGCTATCATATGGATTTGTTAAAAATGGGATTATTGAATGAGACACCAGCAGCTGCTCTTAAAAGCGTCTGCACCCATCTGCTGTCTCCTTAGGTTAGCACATGTCTCGCACTCCCTTTGCTGCAGGAGCTGTCAGAGGGCAGCGGGAGCCCCGTGCTCCTCTTCGGGGACATGGGGAGGGCAGCGATGTCACCCTCTTGACACAGAAGGGAAAGTCCTGGTGTCACCAGACAGCGGGGAATGGGAGGCTTCGCTAATCGCGGCTGCTTTCCCTCAGCAGGGAGCGGCAGTTGTTATTTTAGGGCTTAAAATTCGCCTTCAAAAAGCCGGCGGCAGCAGCCGGTTCTGCTCATGTGCGTGCCATGTGCTGGGTGCCACCGTCCCGGGGCTGTCCCTGTCCCTCCTGCCACACCCCGGCCACACCAGCCCACAGATTGCCCGTCCCGAGGGTGTCCCAGCCCTTCCTCCTCCCCCAAACGAGGTAAAAATAGAAGACAATAAAATGGAAATGCACATCCTTGGGACGCGGAGGCTGCCTGCGGGAACGCAATCAGCGCTCCTGCTCTCGGCATTGTAAAAATTGAGAGTTTGTTAAAATAACCTTCTTCTCGCAGTGCAGAACAGCACTCCTGGGAAAGGGTTCAGCTGGGAGGATTTTCACCCTCCCCAGAAAGAGGGAGTAAAAGGGGATTGAACAGCAAAGTCAGCCTGGAGAAAAGCAGAGACTGGCCCAGCCAAGGCTCCACAGATGAAAACTCATTAGTATTTTAAGATTCTTTCCGCTCCAGCAAGTCTTGGTAACTCTTGATAATGAACTTCAGCAATTTCTTCTCTATGCCTGACACACAGCTGCTCCTCTGAAGAAATCCCCTTCCCTGTCTCCCCCTCCAAGGGACAGCCTGACCTGCACACACGGGTATCATTTGCTTTCCTGTCTGCACTCTCAGAAATATAAAACAGTAATCTCACCTAAGCTCCTTCCCAGCAATTTTTACCGCTAGACCTCAAACCGTTTTTGCAGACAAGGTGAGTGACATTATCCTTATTCCAAGCCCCAAAGAACCCAGGAGATTTGTACAAGGTCACAGGTTGGCCATTGGCAAACTCGGGAGCAGCCACAAAACGGAGTTGGATCCAACTTGCAGGATTGGACACTTTTAGCTGCACACATTTTAGTTGCTTCTCCCTCTGCATTTTCTATTGTTCCCCATAACAAATTCATCTTAGAGGGATCAGAGGTGTATGAACAAGATAATGTTATGCAAAGGAAAAAATATTTAGGAGGCTTTCTGTATCCCACTGATGTCAGACAGCTGCTTCCCAGCTCACTGTAATCACTTCTAAATCTCACTGTGCAGGGGTTTGCACCCAAAGCCTTTCAAATATGGACAAAAAAAAAAAAAAAAGGGAAAAGAGAGAGGAAATTTCTTTCTGAATCAAAAATGTGATGAATTCCACTTGAGGTTTGTCACAGACAGGGATCTGACACAAACCCTCCTATAAGCACCCACACAAGCCAGGCCTCTCACGAGGGGGAAATATTAGCAGGCATATAAACACATTTGTATAAATGTAATGTTCCCAGAGATGCAAATAGCTTACAAGGAACAGCTAAATTTCCACTGATTGTTCCCAGCCCGAGGAGTAATTCTTCTTACAGCATCAAATGGGTTGCATTGTCTTTGTAAATCCCCCGGGGTTGGAGTTTTGGGGGCTGAAAGCCTCTGGGAGCTGTAAGGTATCACTGGGAGCAGCTGCCAGTCGTGTCTCTAACAGATGGCAGCAAATAATGGCAGGCTCTGCTCTTCCAGCAGCAGCGAGATAAACCTCTGAGAAATCCGTCTGTCTGTGGGGCAGGGGTCCCTCCTGCCCCCGAGGGGATTCTTCTCCCATCCCAGATCCCAGCTCAGGGTGGGATCACCTTCCCTGGCCGGCAGAGCCCCTGCTCCCAGCAAACACCAGTTCTGCTCCTCCACTCTCAAACTGGTCACTTGGGTCTCACTCCCAGCTCCTCTGAGAGCTCCCAGAGTTATCTGCCTTTCCCAAAGAGCAGACTGCAGAGCTGTGCCCAGCCCTGCTCCACAGCCTGCCCACTGCCAGCTCTCGCTCCCATTTCACACCCTGCACCCTCAGCTCTGCCTTTTTCCCTTTCTCTGTCACTAAATCTGAGGAGATGCTCAGAGCATCCATTTCTCTTCCAGCTCCATCTGTCTGGAGCTCTGAGGCTGCCCAAACCGCTTTCCCTTCCATCACACCTCACCCTGAATCCTCCCTTTCCCTCCCCTGCTCGGCAGCAGCTCCTGGGAATTCTCAGAGGCTGCAGATGGAAAATGCCCTGGAAAAAGACGTGAGGTGACTGTCCCAGCCTAAAATGCCCTTCCAGCTTGCAAACATGTCCAAGAGAGTGCAGTTCCTCTGAATGCACATCGGTGACATTCAACACATTTTCTTCAACAGGTGCTTATCCAGCATGGAAATAATTCCTTCCGCCTGGTACGAGTTCATTTCCGTGGCTGTGCTGGGTGGTTTTATGAGCTTCCCCCCTGCCAGCACCTTGTGCTTTCTTTCCTCCTCCTTCTGGCTGAAGGGACTGTCCAGGAGAGAGCAGATTTGCCTGGTAAAAGCAAATGTAACTCGTCTCACAACTTCCCAGCCTCCGCATCTTGCCTATGGAAGGAGAGTACTAATAAGCCTCTCTCCTACTTGGAGACGAGTGGAAAAAGGAAAAAAAAGAAAAAAAAAAAAAAAAAAGAGAGAGCTGTTCCCTGAATTCCCATCACACACATTTAAAGAGGTATTTGTTTAGGAGGGATGCATGTACAGAGCATCCTCCAGCACCACACAAAGCCCTCCTGCCGCCCACGCCTCCCGACTGCCCAAAGCAATTCCTCCCCTCCCCTGCTCCCAGTACCAGCACAGGATGCTTAGGGTCTCCACAGGTCACACTCACAAACTGCTTCTGATTCTCTTTTTCCCCTCTAAGGAATGGAGGGAAGCAGGAGCTTCCAGCACAACAGTAGGAAAATCCTGCAGGGAGCTTCTTGAACTGGCCTTGACTACGCAGCGACTGAAGCCGTTTCCTGATCCTTGCCCTCGGTGCCTGCTGGAGATTTGGTTTATTCACCCAAAACTGGGAGGTGAAACCACACTCCCTGGAATAAAGGGCAGAGTGTTGCTGGGCCAGAGCTGACCCACAGGATGTGGTGCAGACAGGGAAGGGAAGGATGGATCGGAAGGATGGATTTCGTGGTCACACTTCCAAAGGAGCAGAGAACACCTGCCCTGGCAGAGTTCTCTGTTCAGGGTGCAGAGAGTGGCTGTGACTTGTGCCAGCCATGCAGGGGATGGAGAAGCCATCTCTGAGCTGAGGAATGTGTGGGAATTCCTGGCAGGAAGGGATTTTGCCATGGATTCCTCAGCTGCAGGAATTAAAGCCCAGGCAGAGAGAGGAAAGGGAAATGGTGAAACCACAGCAGCAAAACACAGCTCAGAGCCACTCACAGCAGCCACGTTCCTTTGGGAAGGATAATGACAGTCCCCAGACAGCAGCAGAGGCTGCCAGGAGGGGCAGGAGCAGGGGTGGCAGCGAGGATGATGATGCAGGGAGGAGCAAGGAGAGAAGAGGCAGCAAGAGGGAGACTTGGTGACAGCATCTTTTCCTGGGAAAAGTGTAACTGGGTTAATTCC